GTGGGAGCGTGGGCCCAGTATTGCTGGGTCCTCCAGACAGTCCAGGGAAAGCAGAGATCCGACCGGCACCCGGACTGCATGGTGCTGGGAGGCAGGTGCTTCCTCGGTGCCCGGAGGGAGGCAGGCGGCTGCCCGAGGACTCCCTGCTCCCGTGTTGGAGTCATGGCCGCTCTGTGGCATTAGCTCAGCTTTCCAGAGGTGTGTTTGCTTCATACTCTCTGGCTCCCACATGGCTGCAGCCCCTGTTCTCAGCCCAGGCTGTGTCCCTGGGGCCAGCTCCTGAGGGTGGGACAGCCATGAAGGACCCCCCTGTAGGGGCTCCCTGGGTCCTAAGGAGTGGTGGAGAGGCGTGGCCCGGCCGTTCCCTGCCGTGAGCTCACACTTGGTCTTTGGACGAGCAGTGATCTTGCAGTTCAGAGTCAGGGCTGGGGTTGGGGCCCCGGACCGGAGCAGGAGTCTGGCTGGCGGCAGGGCCCTGGGTGGGCCAGGAGTCTCGATGGCCGCTCGGGCCGTGCTGGGTCCCATGCACGAGCTGCTGGGTGGATCTGGGAGCTGTGTGTGTGGCTCACAGCTGCGTCTTTTGAGCCAGTAATTCTGAGACAAGTTTTCTGGTTGCTAGGTAAATAGAGACACAAGGGGGCTTCAGAAAGTTTACAGAACACAGAATCAAAAGCTTAGTTTACGTTGGCCAAGAAAACTTTGGAAATCCAGGCGCAGTTTTCCATAATACACATTTATTAACTTTGTTTGAAAGGCAGAGAGAGAACGAGAGAGCACTCCCCACTGCTGGTTCACTCCCCAGATGCCTCCGTTGGCCAAGGCTGGGCCAGGTCCAAGCCTGGAACTCAATCCAGGTTTCCTGCAGTGGAGTAGGGACTCAACTACTCCGTTCCCGCCGCTCCTGTGCCCCCCGCCCTCACCCACCCTGCCGCTCTGGGGGGCACCAGAGCGAGCGTTCCGGAGTCTTAGGCATGTCCTCTTCCGCCGTGGCCGTTTCTGGTTTTGGTCACTAGATATATTCGCCTTTGACGTTTGGCCTGCGGGTGCTGCCGCCTCCTGGAAGCCCTCCTCTGTCCTGCCTGCACCTGGCAGAGGGCAACGTTCTTTTTCCTTGCAGCCTTAGCAAGCGTTGCTGCCCAGTCGTTTTGCCTCGGATGGTTGGAGCACATCTGAGCGCGGCTCTCTGCGAGCCTTCGTTCTGTCTAGGAGCTCATGCGCAGTGGGGTCCTCTCCTGCACTTTGCCTCTTCCTGTAATTCCGGGACATCCCAGGTGATGACTTCTACCGAGTCCCCCCCAACGCCTGCCGCTCCTGGGGTGCGGCCTCTCCTCCTGGTCCTTCCTGTCTCCACCCCTGCCTGCCTGGGCACAGCTGCTCCATCGCGCCACCTGCTGGTCTCTGGCTCTCTGCTACGACCTATTTCTTGCACCTGCTGTTATTCACCTTTTCCTCTTGGCTCTAGGAAGCGGCTTCCTGCTTCGTGTTTCCCGTGGCCCACCTGGCTGCCATCTCCGTTGCCTTCAGAGCGCTGGGCTCGTGTATGGGGGACTGTAAACTCCTTTTCCCTGGGGCCGCCAGCCTTGCCAAATGGCTGAGGGCCCAGCTGGCTCCCAGCCACATCTCCTCGGAGGTTGAGTGCTGCCGGGGGTGGGGAGGCAGGGAGGGAACCTCTAGCTCTATGGGCCTGCAGAGCCTTTGTTTGCTGGTGGCCCTGGGCCACCTCCAGCCAGGCTCACCGTGGCCCCCAGGTTCCGAGTCTCTGGGCTGCACAGGGTAGGCTGGGAAAGCCAGCTGCAGGAAAGACTACCAGGGCGCAGGGCCTCTCGCACTGACCCACGCATCCCAAGCCCCAAAGGCTTCCGAGCCTCTTCTCTGGCTGCCTCCAGGAGGGGGCTGGGCGAGTTCACCCACAATGCAGCCGGGGCTCCAGTGGCCAGAGAACGGCCAGGACCACGGTGCTTGGGCAGCTTGAACAACAGAGGGAAAACGCGAGTCCTCTCGCCTCTCTGTGCAGTCCTGTTTGTACCAGGGCGCTTCCAGATGTTTCTGGAGGACCACGTTGTGTCACTGTCTCCTGCAGCCCACAGGAGCACTGATTCAAGTCCTGGCTCCTCCCCTTTCTGATCCAGCTCCCTGCCAACACACCTGGGATCGCAGCACGAGTTGGTCCAAGTGCTTGGGCCCGAAGACCTGGGTGGAGCTCCTGGCTCCAGTCTGGCCCAGCCCTGGCTGTTGCAGGCACTTGGAGAGTGAACCAGCAGACGGAAGACCTCTGATCATCTTCTCTGCCTTTTGAATAATTTTTTAAAAAATCATCGTAAAATGCAATTTATTTTGTTGCAGAAAAATGGAAATCTATGTTTTTTCATAAAAGGTACATTCTGTGAACTTTTTAAAATGTGACTTCTGTGTCCTTTAAAAAAAATCTTAAGATTTACTTATTTGAGGGGCTGGTGCTGTGGTATAGTGGGTAAAGCCATCGCCTGCAGTGCCAGCATCCTATATGGGTACCAGTTCAAGACCTGGCTGCTCCCTGCTAATGCACCTGGGAAAGCAGCAGAAGATGGCCCAAGTGCTTGGACCCCTGCACCCACGAGGGAGACCTGGGAGAAGCTCCTGGCTCCTGGCTTCGGATCAGCCCAGCTCAGGCTATTGCTGCAGCCATTTGGGGAGTGAATCAGCGGATGGAAATCTCTCTGTGTGTAACTCTTCCAAATAATTTTTTTTATATTTACTTATTTGAAAGGCAGAATTACAGAAAGGGGAGGGGAGAGACAGAAAGAGCCCCCCAGGCTGAAGCCTGGAGCTCCATCCAGGTCTCCCACATGGGTGCAGGAGCCCAAACACTTGGACCAGCCTCTGCTGCTTTCCCAGGTGCATTAGCAGGGAACTGGATCAGAAGTGGAACAGCCGGGACTCGAACCAGCATGGGGTTGCAGGTGGCAGCTTTACCTGCTGTGCCACATGGCTGGCCCCTCTATGAGTTTTCTATAGACCCCTTATGCTTGAATTCAATTTTTTTTTTTTTTTTTTTTTTGCAACACAGTGTACCTTTTGCTTCATTTCACATGGACGTTTTGCAGTGCCATCTCTCAGGAGGGTCAGTGGTGAGAGCTGTCAGGGGAAGGTAGACCCCAGCTTGGAGCAGGGTCACTTTTAAAACCGACATCACTACCCAGGGGTCCCGTCCGCTCAGCACTGCGCTGAAACAGCCCCGGAGGCAGGCGCGGCTCTAACCCCACTGTGCAGGCGCGGCAGTCGAGGCTGGGGGAGGGACAGTTTACCCAGATGCTCAGGGCTGGGACTGTAAGCAGAGTCTCTGGGATGCTGCCTCTCCACCCTCTGACTCCGTGACTCTCAGGTTCTGCCCGTGGGGGTGAGGAGGAGCCACGGCTCTCGGGATTCTACAGTGGCCTTTGTAACTCTAACTTCCCCAGTGCTTCTGGGTGTCACCCAGAGGTCAGGCTTACTCCAGTTCATAATGGCGGCAGAGTCCTGCCGCAGCGCCCTAAATTAAATCACGAAATTACGCCTGCCTTTGTGATGTGATTACGGCTTCTCAGCCACTGATTCATAGGTCTTGTCTTTCTCAATCTGATTACGGTTCCCTTGCTCTCTGGACTGTCTCGCAGGGAGGTGGCCGTGCAGTTCTCCTTCCCGAGCCCAGCCCACGATATGCAATTAGTCTCACCGTCAGCAGGGCGCTTGGTGGTGGGCTGGTGTTCACTCTGTGGCACTTGGGCGATGTGGAGGGGCGGTGGGAGAGTAAGCTCGCATCCAGGAGCTCTCGGAGTTCCTGGAGCAGGTGCTACAAGGAAACCAGTATCTAAAGCACAAGGACTTTGGGACTGGGTCAGCCACGGCAAGGCAGGCCCCTCATTCCCAGCAGGGGAGCTGTGTGACTTCGTAAAAGCAAAATTGATCGAGAAAAGCTGTGACACACACGTTCGGACCTTTCTGATTCGAAACACAGCTAACCGTGCAAGTACCTGTTTGTCTCCTGAGTAGCCAGGCACTTGAGATGGTCAGCTTGCCCAGAGGACCAGGACGCCTGGTTTGTTGCACGCTGGACGCTCGGTGGCCTCGCTCCTGCTGATGGATTAGAGACGGACTCCGGAGGCTGCACCACCCTGCCCTTTCTCTGACTGCTTTCTCTGGCTTTGGTCTTGCAGATCCAAGACGACTGGAAGTACGTTGCCATGGTGATCGACCGCATCTTCCTGTGGGTCTTCATCCTGGTGTGCATTCTAGGCACGGCGGGCTTGTTCCTGCAGCCGCTCATGGCCAGGGATGACGCCTGAGCGCCGTCTCTCGGCTGTGACCTACGTCCTGTTACCAGCCTATCACTGCTGTCTTTGGCATTGCAAGGCTTCCTTAGTCTCCAGTTGTCCTGTGTTTTTTTGTCGAAATAAAAAAATGGCCAGAGCATTTATTACGGCTAAATGAGCACCGAACGAGCTTTGGTGATGAGGGATGGAACCGTCCACAGCGCTGCGTAGAGTCGGGCTGTGAGCCGGAAGTGTTCCCCACGTCCCAGTGGCTGAGCTGCAAACCTTGACCTTGGGTAGCCCTCGTGTCAGCATCCGTTCCGCGCGACCTCGCAGTGCACAGCCCGGGGGTTGCCCTTTTTCCGCCCACAGTCTGCTCCCGGCTTGAGCTGCTTCAGGGTTTCGGCCGTGCGTTTCTGTTCGGAACCGTTTGGCCAGCCTCAGGCCCGCGGATGGCTCCTGCCTGGGCGCGCGGTGGCTGCCCACGCACGGCCCATGGTGCGTGGGCGGCTCTAAGGGGATGCCGCACGCTCGCTCGCAGCTCTAACGGCTGTGTTGGAGGCGGGAAGGTCCGCTCACAAGGAGCCAGCGAGACTCAGTGTCTGGCCAGGGGCAGCTTCCAGCCCCATCCCCACGTGAACAAAGGGACCAGCCGGCGCTCTGCGGCCTCTTGGGTAAGGGTCCAGTCCCACCCCCACCCCCACCCCCACCCGCGTGAATTCTGGGCGGACACAACACACAGGCCACAGCATGAACCTGTAGGACTGGGTTTCCCGGCCTCAGTGCTGTTGACCCCTTGGGCTGGGTAAGTGTTGGGGTGCAGGGGGGATGTCCTGGGCACTGTGGCACCTTCGGCAGCACCCCAGATCTGCCCGCCGATGGCAGGACGCCACTCACCGCCTCCTGTGACCACACACACACATGTCCGCAGTTCCCTGTCCCCTCCGTAGATGGGGGTCTCAGGAAAGCGCATTGGGCGCCACACCTGCAACCCCAGCCCCCCACGGAGCCGACCACCCTCTCACCAGGCAGTGTTTCTCCTGTGCAAAAATAAAAACGTACAGTTTTGCAACCCACTGCGACTCCCGTTTCAAACAGTTGAAGGCAGCTTTGTTCCATGTCATTTCTTTATGTACAAAAGCCTCGGCCACAGTAAGGGGGCGTATACCGGCTAAGACAGCTAAAGGCAGGTTAAATTCATCCAGCCACACTTTCATTCGTAAAGTGGCATTAAACTCTAAGTAGCCCGGAAGTTAGACAGGTGCCCTCTGCCGTCTGAATTTGGATGGCTTACAGCTGTTCTCAGGAGCTACGAGGTCCCAGTCAAAGGTTTCCAATGGCGTGTCCTTCCTGGTTATAGCTGCATTAAAGACTTAGAGATGAAATTTGTTTTCCAAGATTTTAAAATTTATTTTAAAGAATTCAAGAAGAGAGAGAATGGATCTTCCATCTGCTGGTTCACTCCCCAGACCAGGGCTGGGCTGGCCTGAAGCCAGGACCCGGAGCTCCATCCGGGTCTCCCACGTGGGTGCAGCGGCCCAAGCACCTGGGCCGTCCTCTGCTGCTGCCTTCCCAGGCACGTTAGCAGGGAGCTGGACCGCAAGCAGAGCAGCCAGGGCTCGAACCGGCTGCACGTGCACAGGACCGGCCGGTACAGGGCAAGGTAGGTGACAACTCGGGGGCAGGCGTCTGGGACGGAGCTCAGTCATCACCCGATGCACCCACCTCCCACAGTGCCTGCTTCGAGTCCTGGCTCCTCCTTTTCGGGTCCAGCTTCCTGCTCACGTGCACGCTGGGAGGCAGCAGGCGATGGCTCCCGGCGCTGGTTTCCTGCCAGCCACGTGGGAGACCCAGACTGAGTTTCAGGATTTAGCCCAGCCTTAGCTGTTGCAGGTGTTTGGGGGATCAAACAGTAGATGTCTGCCTCTCTCGCTTTCAAATAAATTGAAGGTAAGTACATTACACTTTTTTAAATGTTAATACAACAGTACATTCAGCTTAAGCATCTAAAAGTGAGCCTAAAAGGAGTGCCCAGTTCTCATGTTGGTGATAGAAAAATGAGTTACTGGGATACTGCTTTTCTATCATGTAGCCAGCTTACTTAGCATAGCAGCGGAATCTTATGCTAAAGATTAGCTGTGAGGGAGTCCAGGACAGAATTTCAGAATGTGTACTTGTACCACGTGCAGGCAGAGCTTTTAAAATGACTCCAAGTACAGCTGGCGCCTTTCAGCACAATCAACACAGACTTCGCTGCTGATTAAAGTTAGGATTGTCGGCCAGGATACAGACGTGGGCCTCCACCGGCACGGCTCAGAGAGGGAGGATGTGGCAGGTCCAGTGGGGCTGGGCCAGGTACTACTCCAGCCGTGCAGGCCGTGTGCTGAGGGAGCATCCGGGATTCGCTGATGCTAGCAAGTCTACTTAAAAGCTGGCATCCGCTTTTAATCACGGGGGCAGGTGTTTGGCCTGGTGGTTAAGGTACCACTTAGGAGACCCACATGCCCTGTTGGGGTGCCTGGGTTCAAATCCCAGCCCCACTCCCAAGGCCACTTTACTGCTAATGCAACCCTGGGAGACAGCAGGTGGTGGCTCTAAGTGGTTGGGTTTCTGCCACCCTGGACTGAGTTCCTGCCTCCTGTTCTGGTCTTGCAAACTGTTATGGGCATTTGGGGAATAAATCAGTGAATGAGAGCTTTCTCTCTACCTCTTCCTCTCAAAATGATTTTTTAAAGGTTTATTTTATTTGAAAGAGTTACAGAGAGAGGCAGAGACAGAGAGAGGTCTTCCATCCACTGGTTCACTCCCCAGAAGGCTGCAACAGCTGGAGCTGGGCTGTTCCAACCAAAGCCAGGAGCCAGGAGCTTCCTCTGAGACTCCCACATGGGTGCAGGGACCCAAACACTTAGGTTTTCCCAGGCACATTAGCAGGGAGCTGGATGGGAAGTGGAGCAGCCGGGACTCAAACCAGCACCCATATGGGATGCTGGCCCTGCACCCGCTACACCACAGCACTGGCCCCTCAAAATAATTTTTAAAAATTTTAAACAGTTTCCACTTTTCATAGTTCTACTGGTGCCAAAAGATCTATGTTTGATAACCAAATTCAACCTAGCACTCCTCAGCAATTTCACTTATTTGCGTTTCCAATATGAACTGGTATTATTATATTGGCCCACTTATAAATAACAGGAACAAAAAGTCCAAGAGAACCCACAACTGAGACCAGCAGGAACATCCACAGGAACACCCGGTCAAGCACCTGGGCTATGAACTTCCAGTCTTCCACCACCTGTCACAGAAAAACAGAAACACGTTAGGCACATGGGTAACACTGCACATAGTGTAAGGTACAGCCGGCTGAGCTGCTGGCCACCTCCATGTCTGCCTCCCTCTGTTGCCTGCCAGTGCCGAGTGCAGCTGAGAGCCAGTCCCGTTACAAACCCAGCCTCCTCAAGCTTTGTCCAGCTCCCTGCTACTGCGCCTGGGAAAGCAGCTGAGGATGGCCCATGTGCCTGGGCCCCTATACCCACGTGGGAGACCCGGAGGAAGCTCCTGGCTTCAGCCTGGCCCAGCCCTGGCTGTTGTGGCCATTTGGGGAGTGACCCAGTGGATTTAAGATCCATCTCTGTATCTCCCTCTATGTCACTCTTCCGGGATGCTGCTCCACTTCCGATCCAGCTCCCTGCTAATGTGCCTGGGAAAACAGCAGAAGATGGTCTGAGTGCTTGTGCCCCTGCACCCACGTGGGAGATGCAGATAAAGCACCAGGCAACAGCAGGTCCAGCCCGGTCAAGCAGCAACTGGGGAGTGAGCCAGTGGATAGAAGCTCTATTTCTCCCTCCCTCCAACTTTGCCTTTCAATAAATAAATAAATCTTTTTTTTTTTAAAGATTTATTTATGTACTTGAAAGTCAGAGTTACACACAGAAGGAGAGTCAGAGAGAGAGAGAGAAGGGGAGAGAGAGAGAGAGAGAAGGGGAGGGAGGGAGAGAGAGGGAGAGAGAGGGAGAGAAAGAGAGAGAGAGAGAGGGAGAGAGAGGGAGAGAGAGGGAGAGGGAGGGAGAGAGAGGGAGAGGGAGAGAGAGAGAGAGGTCTTCCATCTGCTGGTTCACTCCCCAGTTGGCCACAATGGCTGGAGCTGCACCAATCTGAAGCCAGGAGCTTCCTCCAGGGCTCCCATGTGGGTAGAGGGGCCCAAGGCCTTAGGCCATCCTCTACTGCTTTCCCAGGCCATAGCAGAGAGCTGGATCGGAAGAGAAGCAGCCAAGACTTGAACCAGCACCCAAATGGGATGCTAGCACTGCAGGCAGCAGCTTTACCCACTACGCCATAGTACCAGCCCCAGTAAAAAAAATCTTAAAAAAAAAAGTGTCGACTGGCCCTCGTTCTACGCTTAACCTCAAGGGCCACGCTGCTCACTGCGCCCTGGACCCTGAAAGTCACGTCTGAGTTAGAGGAGCAGCAGGCCTGCATCAGGAGACCCACACCACAGACCTCACGGACGGCGCTCTCCTTGGTGACGTGCCTGGCGATGTAACGGACAGACTCCAGCGCGGCCTCCAGCGTGTTCCTGGGAGCCCGGGGCCTGCGCCCGCTGCCCGCCTCCTCCTCCTCCTCCTCCTCTTCCTCCTCCTGTGCGAGGTAGCGGTCGGCGTGGCTGCGCATACACAACAGCTTGGGCAGCTTGTGCAGAAACACCCTGCGGGCCCAGGGCGCCATGGGGTCGTGCGTGGAGGCGGAGCGGTGGTGGATGTTGATGGCGAAGACGGTCACCATGATGGACAGGGTCACGAAAATCATGGTGAACACCAGGTACTCGCCGATGAGGGGGATGACCTTGGAGGAGGACGGTATGATCTCCTCGATGACCAGCAGGAAGACCGTCAGCGAGACGAGCACGGACGTGCACAGGCTGATCTTCTCGCCTTCGTTGGAGGGCAGGTAGAAGACCAGCACGGTGAGGAAGGAGAGCCCGATGCAGGGGATGATGAGGAACAGGGTGTAGAAGAGGGGCAGGCGTTTGATGACGAAGGAGTAGGTGACAGAAGGGTACCAGCAGCAGCTGTCGCTTCGGTTGCCTTTGCTCCCCGTGGCGCTCACGATTTCCCACTCCCCGTTATCGAAAAAATCCCTCTTGTCCACGTCCTGGTCCTCCAGGACGATGTCCACCTGCGAGCCGTCGTAGGTCCAAGAGCCGAACTTCATGGAGCAGTTCTGCAGATCGAACGGGAAAAACGTGACGTCTATGGTGCAGGAGCTCTTGTAGTTGGCCGGGGGCGTCCAGGTGACCGTGCCGTTGTATCTGACGACTGTTTTAGTGCTGGCCCCTTCGAAACGTCCATCTGCGCTAGAACACACACACACACACACATGCACACACCCACGGTGACTACTGGAAAGCGGACAACCCAAGCATGCCTCTCACAAGCCTGGCATGACGTCAGTCCTATACACCTAACCCTAGCCACACCTCCTTTCCACGGAACCCCGTCTTCCACATCCAGCCCTGGACTGACAAAGCTCCAAGGGCAGGTGTGACGGCACTGTGGGTGAAGCTGCCGCATGAGCCGTGGGCAGCCCTGCCGGAGCACTGGTTTCATGCCAGCTGCTGTGCTCCTGATCCAGCTCCCTGCCAACGTGCCTGGGAAGCCAGCGGAGGGCGGCCCACGTGCTGTGTCCCTGCCCTCCATATGGGAGACCTGGACGGTGTTCTGGGCACCTGGCATCAGCCTGGCCATTGCGCTATTCAAGGACTGAACCAGCAGAGGAAGACCTGTCTGTCTCTCCTCCTCCGTGTGTCACTCTGCCTTTCAAATAAATGAAATAAATCTAAACAAACAAACAAACAAAAAAACCCCAGCTAATCCACAACTGATCCAGCTTCCTTCTCATGCACCTGGAAAAACAGCAGCAGATGGCCTGGGTCCTCGGGCCCTTGCACCCATGTGGGAGGCCCAGGTGGAGCTCCAGGCTCCTGGCTCCTGCCTGGCCCAGCCCTGGCTGTTGCAGCCATCTGGGGAGTGAACCAGCAGAAGGAAACTCTCTCTCTCTCTCTTCCTCTCTGACTTTTTAATAAATGAATGAATAAATCCTTTAAAAAAAAAGTCATCCATTACTGAGAATGAGAGAGACGGTGCTTCCATCTGCTACTTCACTCCCCAGTGGCTGCAATGGCTGAAGCTGGACCAGACCGAAGCCAGGAACCAGCAGCTCCATGTGGGCCTCCCACGTGGGTGACAGGGGTCCCAGGGACTTAGCCCATCTTCTGCTGCTTCCCCAGGCGTTTGAGGAGGAAGCTCCGCTCCAGGGGATGCACCATGTGACCTCCTAGCTTGTTCACCTCTTTCAGATTGAGAGGCTCAGAGGTAAAAGTCTTCAAAAAAAAAAAAAAGTTTTGTGTGGCTGGCATTGTGCAGTGGGTTAAGCCACTGCCTGCAATGCCATCATCCCATATAAGCATAGATTCAAGTCCTGGCTGTTTCACTTCCAATCCAGCTCCCTGCTAATCTCCCTCCCTCCCTCCCCATCTCTCTATATAACTCTACCTTTCAAATAAGTTTGTTTGTTTTTAAATATTTTTATTTATTTGAGAGGTAGAGTTACAGAGAGCGGGAGAGATGGAGAGAAAGGTCTTCCACCCACTGGTTTACACCCTAAGTGGCTGCAATGGCCAGAGCTGAGCTGATCTGAAGGAGCCAGGAGCTTCTTCCAGGTCTCCCATGTGGGTGCAGGGACCCAAGGACTTGGGCCATCTTCCACTGCTTTCCCAGGCCACAGCAGAGAGCTGGATGGGAAGAGCAGCAGCCGGGACAGGAACTGGTGCCCATATGGGATTCCTGCACCACGGGCAGAGGCTTAGCCCACTATCCACAGTCCCTAAGGAAAGGTTTTTAAAGGAGAACTTTGCACAATATTTGCTCCATTTTCATGCCAAATGCCTCTGGCACATAAAGGGCTTTAGGATAAGCACAAATTCCCCAGTACACCCAGGGTGGTCACAGAAATAACAAAATTGGGGCCCAGAACCATCCCCTTCCCTGAGTTAAAAAACCCATCCTCCAAACTCACAAAGACAGGTTGTAACTGATCTTCACTCCTCCCAATACTGCATTTAAACACAGCGGCAAAGATGCACGTTTGAACATAAAACACGAAGTCAACTTTTTAAAATACGCCTCCCGCCCAGAGCTGGAAGGCGATGTCTGGTACCCAAGTGGGCACACAGGGCATCCATGGCCATCCCATCACATGCCAGCTGCGTGAGCGTGCAGAAGGTGCAGCTGCCCCGGGCCTCTGATTGCTTGTCTGGGAAACAGACGTAGCCGCCGTGTGAGTGGCCAGCCATGTAACTCAGTGGCTGCCTCTCAGGGCCGCCACGAGGGTTCGCTGCAGGCTAAACCCCTCCCCGATGGCCTTCCACCCCCCTGTACCCCCACCCCATGTCTTTTGCAACTTTCAGAAATGCACAGAACCCACTGGGAGGCTCATGACAGCAAATGCAAGATCAGGTCTGACACTACAGCTGAGGTTTGCAAAAGGGAGAAACCTTGCTAGTACCCAAGTCGGATGCAACCGGATGCATTTAGGGCGGAACTTACTTATCAAACAAGACGATGTCTGGGGTCCAGAGGGAGTCGGAGGGGACGCGGATCACCTGGATTCCTCCGTAGTCCTCGGGGTTCCACCTGAGTTTTACGTCTGTCCATTGCTTTAAAACAGAAACCTGCCTCAGTGCCAACAGAAGTGGTGCAGAGTGAAAAGCACACTTTTTTTTTGGTCAAAACAGACATTTTAGAAATGAAACTGTCTCTCCCTCCAAATTCGCCATGCATCTTTCTGATGGCCCAAGGGCAAGCCCCTGTCCCCTCCTGCAGTGACGCGAGCCATGGTCCTGGGGACACACTGGTAAGGACCACAGCTGGGTGTGCCCATGGCTTTGCTCAGGCCCTTGCCCACCAACTGACCACCCCAGGGACCTGAAGGCTCAGGACCCTAAGCTTCAAGGGGAACACTTGCACCTGCATTGCCACCTCTGTGAACTGGGATGGTTCATGCAAGGTAGAGCTGGACTTATTACACACTGCATATATTTAAACGCCTGTCCAACTCCACAGTAACAGTGATCAAGTTAAGAGTGGCACCCGAAGAAACAAATGAGTATCTCCACAAATGCTGAACAGATGCACCAATTCAAGAAACAAGAATAAGACAACATGATGCCCCCAAAAGAACACAACATTTTTTTTTTGACAGGCAGAGTGGAGAGAGAGAGAGAGAGAGAGAGAGAGAGAGAGAGAGAAAGGTCTTCCTTTTTCCATTGGTTCACCCCACAGTGGCCACTATGGCCAGCACACTGTGGCCAGCGCACTGCATTGATCCGAAGCCAGGAGCTAGGAGCTTCTCCTGGTCTCCCATGCGGGTGCAGGGCCCAAGCACTTGGGCCATCCTCCACTGCACTCCTGGGCCACAGCAAAGAGCTGGACTGGAAGAGGAGCAACCGGGACAGAATCCGGTGCCCTGACCAGGACTAGAATCCAAGGTGCCGGCGCCGCAGGTGGAGGATTAGCCTATTGAGCCGCAGCGCTGGCCAGAATGCAACATTTCAATACTAGATTGTGAAGATGGTGAGATGGAAGAAATACAAGAATGGAATTCAAAAAATTGATCATAAGATCACATAGAAGTAATCAGAAGCAAATCCATGAACTACTGAAATCTGTACAGGACATGAAAGAAAATTTCTCCCATGAAATCTAGATCTGAAATAGAAATCAAAATGAAATAAAGAATTCAATAGAACAAAAATTAGGGTCAAGAGCCTTAGCAACAGAATCAGTGAAGCGGAAGAAAGAATATCGGATTTAGAAGACAAAGCACAGGAAATTAAACAGTCAAACCAAAAACAAGAAGAAATTAGCAAACTAAAAATCACTGTTGGGAATCTACAGGATATTATCAAAATGACCCAACATCTGGATTCCAGGAGGCCCCAAAGGTGTGAAAAGAGAGAAAGGATTAGAAGGCCTTTTTAGTGAAATAATAACAGAAAACTTCCCTAATTTGGAAAAAGAGAGACTCCAAGTACAGGAATCATATAGAACTCTTAATAGACATGACCAGAAAAGATCTTCACCACAACACATTGTCATCAAACTCACCACGTAAAACATAAAGAAAAGACTCTAAAATGTGCTTGAGAGAAATGCCAGATTACTTTCAGAGGATCTCAAATTAGAGTCACAGCAGACTTCTCATCAGAAACCCTACAGGCTAGGAGAGAATGGTAAGATATAGTTCAAGTCTTAAGAGAAAAAAACCCGTCACACCAGAGTACTATACTCTGCGAAGCTCTCATTTATGAATGAAGGTGAAATAAAGACCTTCAATGACAAATAGAAATTGAAAGAATTTATCACCACCCATCTAGCCCTACAAAAGATGCTTAAGGATGTGCTGCACACAGAAAAATAGAAACATGGTCATCACTATGAAAGAAGGTAACAGAAGATAATCTCTCAGTAAAAGTACAAGGAAACCCAAAGTAAAAAAAAAAAGAATATTTTTGGAAAAATGGCAGAGCAAAGTCATTACTTATCAATAGTCATCTTGAATGTAAATGGCCTCAATGCTCCAGTTAAATGAGACTGGCTGAATGAATTAAAAAACAAAACTCATTTATTTGCTGCCTACAAGAAATACATCTCACCGACAAAGATGCACACAGACTGAAAGTGAAAGGATGGAAAAAGATATTCCACATTAACACAAACCAAAAAAGAGCTGGTGTAGCCATCCTAACATCAGACAAAAGAAGCTTTAACACAAAAACTGTTAAAAGAGACAAAGAAGGGCACTGTGCAATGATTAAGGGATCAATTCAACAGGAAGATGTCACTATTACAAATGTATATGCACCTAATTACCTAGCACCTGGCTGTTTAAAAGAAATGTTAAGGGATCTAAAAGGAGACTTAGACTCCAATACAATAGTAATGGGGGACTTCAATACCCCACTTTCAGCAATGGACAGATCAAGCAGACAGAAAATCTACAAGGAAACAGCAGATTTAATCGACACTATAGACCAAATGGACCTAACAGATATCTACAGAACTTTTCATCCTACAGTTGCAGAATATACATTCTTCTCAGCAGTGCATGCAACTTTCTCTAGGATTGACCACATACTAGGCCATAAAGCAAGTCTCAGAAAATTCAAAAAAAAATCAAAATCATACCATGCATCTTCTCAGACCACAATGAAATGAAGCTGGAAATCAGCAACTCAGGAATCTAGAACACACTCAAACACGTGGAGACTGAACAACATGCTCCTGAATGAACAGTGGGTCATAGAAGAAATCAAAAGATTTCTGGAAACAAATGAAGATGACAACACAACATATCAAAACTTATGGGATACAGCAAAAGCAGTGTTAAGAGGAAAGTTTATAGCAATAGGTGCCTATATCAAGAAATTGGAAAGACATTAAATAAATGAGCTATCAATGCATCTCAAGGATCTAGAAAAGCAATAGCAAATCAAACCCAAACCTAGTAGGAGAAAAGAAACAATTAAAATTAGAGAAGAAATCAACAAAATTAAATGCAAAAAAAATCCCAAAGATCAGCAAAACAAAGAGCTGATTTGTTGAAAAAAATAAAATTGACACACCATTGGCCCAACTAACAAAAAAAGGAGAAAGAAGACCCAAATAAATAAAATTGGAGATAAAAGGAAATGTAACACAGACACCAGATAAATAAAAAGAATCATCAGAGATTACTACAAAGAGCTCTATGGCAACAAACTGAGAAACTTAGCAGAAGTACATTCCTGGACACATACAACCTACCTAAATTGAGCTATGAAGACATAGAAAACCTAAACAGACCCATAACCAAGATGGAAACTGAATCAGTAATAAAGGCCCTCCCCACAAAGAAAAGCCCAGGACCAGATGGCTTTACTACTGAATTCTACCAGACATTTAAAGAGGAACTAACTTGCTGGTGCCACAGCTCACCAGGCTAATCCTCTGCTTGCGGCACCAGCACCCCGGGTTCTAGTCCCAGTTGGGGCACTGGATTCTGTCCCGGTGGCTCCTCTTCCAGTCCAGCTCTCTGCTGTGGCCCGGGAGGGCAGTGGAGGATGGCCCAAGTGCTTGGGTCCTGCACCTGCATGGGAGACCAGGAGGAAGCACCTGGCTCCTGGCTTCGGATCGACACAGCACGCCAGCCATAGCAGCCATTTGAGGGATGAACCAATAGAAGGAAGACCTTTTTCTCTGTCTCACTAATTCTGCCTGTCAAAAAAAAAGATAAAAAAAAAAAGAACTAACTCCAATTCTTCTCAAGTTATTCAAAACAATTGAAAGGGAGGTAATCCTCCTAAATTCTTTCTATGAAGCCAGCATCACCTTAATTCCTAAGCCTGATAAAGATTCAACAGAAAGAGAATTACAGACCAATTTCCCTGACCATAGATGCAAAATTCCTCAACAAAATTCTAGCCAATCAAATCCAACAACACATCAGAAAGATCATCTACCCAGACCAAGTGGGATTTATCCCTGGTATGCAGGGACAGTTCAACATTCACAAATTGATCAAAGTGATACATCACATTAATAAACTGCAGAACAAAAATGATGTCATCTCAATAGATGCAGAGAAAACATCTGATAAAATACAGCACCCTCTCATGATGAAAACTCTAAGCAAATTGGGTATAGAAGGAACACAATCAAGGCAATTTATGACAAACTCACGGCCAGCATCCTATTGAATGGGGAAAAGTTGGAAGCATTCCTACTGAGATCCAGTACCAGACAAGGATGTCCACTCTCACCATTGCTATTTAATATAGTCCTGGAAGTTTTAGCCAGAGCCATTAGGCAAGAAATAGAAATCAAAGGGATATAAATTTTAGGAGAAAGTCAAACTATCCCTATTTGCAGATGACATGATTCTATATATAGGGGGTCCAAAAGACTCCTCAAAGAGTTTGGTAAAGTCTCAGGATATAAAGTCAATACACAAAAATCAACAGTCTTTGTATACACAGACACTGCCAATGCTTAGATTGAGCTTCTACAATCAATGCCATTCACAATAGCTACAAAAAAAAAATCAAATACCTTGGAATAAATTTAACCAAGGATGTCAAAGATCTCTACAATGATAATTATAAAACATTAGGGGCTGGCACTGTGGCCTAGTGGGTAAAGCCACCGCCTGCAGTGCCAGCATCCCATAGGGGTGCCAGTTTGAGTCCCAGCTGCTCCACTTCCCATCCAGCTCTCTGCTGTGGCCTGGGAAAGCAGAAGAAGATGGCCCAAGTCCTTGAGCCCCTGCACTTGCATGGGAGACCTGGAGGAAGCTCCTGGCTCTGGACTGGCCCAGCTCTGGCTGTTGCAGCCATTTGGGGAGTGAACCAGCAGATGGAAGACCTCTCTCTCGCTCTCTGCCTCTTTCTCTCTCTGCCTCTCCTTCTCTCTGTAACTCTGCCTTTCAAATAAATAATTTTTAAAAATTATAAAACATTAGAGAAAGAAATAGAAGATGCAAAAAATGGAAAAATCTTCCATGTTCATGGATTGGAAGAATCAACATCACCAGACTGTCCATTCTTCCAAACGCAATTTACAGATTCAATGCAATAACAATCAAAATACCAGACATTCTTCTCAGATCTAGAAAAAATGATGCTGAAATTCATATGGAGGCACAGGAGACCTCGAATAGCTAAAGCAATTTTATACAAAAAAAAAAAAAAAAAAAAGCCAGAGACATCACATCACAATACCAGATTTCAAGACATACTACAAGGGGCCGGCCCTGTGACACAGAGGGTTAATGCCCTGGCCTGAAGCACCAGCATCCCATATGGGTGCTGGTTCAAGACCCAGCTGCTCCACTTCCAATCTAGCTCTCTGCTATGGCCTGGGATAGCAGTAGAAGATGGCCCGAGTCCTTGGGCCCCTGGACCCACATGGGAGACCTGCAGGAAGCTCCTGGCTCCTGGCCTCAGATAGGCACAGCTCCAGCCATTGCAGCCAATTGAGAAGTGAACCAGCGGATGGAAGACATCGCCCCCCCCCACACCTCTCCTCTCTCTAACTCTGACTTTCAAATAAATAAGTAAATCTTCAAAAAAAAAAAAAAGACATACTACAAGGCAGTTATAATCAAAACAGCCTGGTACTGGTACAAAACAGATGGATAGACAAGTGGAACAGAATAGAAACACCAGAAATCAATCCAAACATCTACAGCCAACTTATATTTGATCAAGGAGCTAAAACCAATCCCTGGAGCAAGGACAGTTTCTTCAACAAATGGTGCCGTGAAAACTGGATTTCCACATGCAGAAGTATCAAGCAAAACCCCTGCCTTACACCTTACACAAAAATCCACTCAACATGGATTAAAGATCTAAATCTATGACCCAACACTATCAAATTATTAGAGAACACTGGGGAAAACCTCTAAGACATTGGCACAGGCAAAGAGTTCTTGTAAGAGACCCCAGAGCCACAGGCAGTCAAAGCCAAAATTAACAATTACATAAAGTTGAGAAGCTTCTGTACTGCAAGAGAAACATTCAGGAAAGTGAAGAGGCAACCGACAGAATGGGAGAAATTATTTGCAAACTATGCAACTGATAAAGGATTAATAACCAGAATATACAAAGAGATCAAGAAACTCCACAACAATACAATAAATAACCCAGTTAAGATATGGGCCAAGGATTTACACAGACATTTTTCAAAAGAGGAAATCCAAATGGCCAACAGACACATGAAAAATGTTCAGGATCACTAGCTGTCAGGGAAATGTAAATCAAAACCACAATGAGGTTTCATCTCACCCCAGTTAGAATGGCTTTCATACAGAAATCAACTAACAATAAATGCTGGTGAGGATGTGGGGGGAAAAGGTACACTAATGCACTATTAGTGGGGATGTAAACTGGTAAAGCCACTATGGAACACAGTATGGAGATACCGCAAAAATCTGAATATAGACCTACTATATGACCCAGCCATCCCATTCCTCGGAATTTACCCAAGGGAAATGAAATCAGTAAACAAAAGAATTATCTGTACCTCCACGTTTATTGCAACTCAGTTCACAATAGCTAAGACATGGAATTAACCTAAATGCCCATCAACCAAAGACTGGATAAGGAAATTATGGGATATATACACTATGGAATACTACACAGCAGTAAAAAAAAATGAAGTCTGGTCATTCGCAACAAAATGGAAGAGTCTGGAAAACATCATACTTAGTGAAATAAGCCAGTCCTAAAGGGACAAATACCATATGTTCTCCCTGATCTGTGATAACTAATAGGGCACCTGAAATGAAATCTGTAGAAGTGAAATTGACACTTTGAGAAGGAATGACTTGAGCTGTCCTTGTCTTGCCTGTTGAGGATCAGTTCCATTTTTTTCTCATTCATACTATTTGTTGAACTCTTTACTTAACATAGATTTAATCATATGTGTACAAAATTGATTGAAACATATCTCAGTAAAAAATAAGACTGGGACTAAGAGAGGGAGGAGAAAGTTTGTAACTGTAAAGCTGTATAGTTCTGCATACATTCCTACAGACTTACTTCTAAGGCTACAGTTCAAAAACTTGTCATAGGACTCCAAATCCCATTAAGCTTGGTGGTAAAAATGCCATCGTAATTGTTAAAATGATGATATTAAGTGTTAAAGTGAACATATAGATAGGATTAAGTGTTAAAGTCTTATAATAAATAGGATCAAGTGCCTGGTAATGATAGATAGAATTAAAAAGGAGAGAATGTTCCAATATGGGAAACAGTCCACACAGCAGACTCAGTGACAACTGCTTTAAGTAACACTCTGACCTCAGAATCAGCCCTTAAGGCTTCCTGGTCTGGCTGAAAAGCCCACGAGAGCAATTCAGGCATGGAAAGCCAAAATGCTGTGGCAAAAAAATATTCTACATGAAGGATCTCTGTGAATGAGATCCCAATGGAAAGAAGTGGCCATCAGAGAGGTTTCCATAGCCTAGGCAGCTCATGTCAAGAGCCTTGGGTGGTCACTGACACCATAGATAAGAGTTAACTGTTAAATTAACAAAAGGAGTCACTGTGCACTAACTCCCCATGCAGGATCTCTGTCCTCAGTGAGTTACGAGACTTAACTGTAAAACTAGTTTTCAAACAGTTTGTGTATGTGTGCAAATTGTTGAAATCTTAGTATAGAGTTGGTCTTCTGTGTACAAAGTTAAAGGAGGGGTGAGAGTATGGGTGGGAGGGCCAGTACGGTAGGAAAAATAACTATATTCCTAAAGTTGTACTTATGAAATTTGTACTCCTTAAAAAATAGTGGCAGCCAGGGCGGGCATTTGGCACAGCAGTTGAGATGTTTCCTATAGCACAGAGTCTGGATTGAAGTCCTAGTTCTCTAAATTCCAGCGTCCTGCTAATGTCTTCCTAGGAGGCAGTGGGTGATGGCTCAAGTAGCTGGGTTCCTGCACACACTTGGAAGACCGAGATTGGGTTCCTGGCTCCCAGTTTTGGCCTGGCCCAGCCCTGGCTATTGCAGACATACAGTGAATCAGTGGATGGGTGCTTGCTTTCTCTCTACCCCTCCTTCCACCCACCTATCTATATCTACCTACCTACCCCATTCAAATAAAATAGATACAAATTTAGAAAAAAAGAAAAACAGCCGGTCACTGTGGCATAGTAGACCAAGCCTCTGCCTGTAGCGCGGCTTCCCATATGGGCACTGGTTCCCATCCTGGCTGCTCCACTTATGATCCAGCTCTCTGCTGTGGCCTGGGAAGGCAATAGAAGATGGCCCAAATGCTTGGGCCCCTGCACCACGTGGGAGACCTGGAAGAAGCTCTGGGTTTCAGATGAGCTCAGCTCTGGCCATTGCAGCCATTTGGGGAGTGCACCAGCAGATGGAAGACCTCTCTCTCTCTGCTTCCTGTCTCTCCCTCTTTCTCTCTGTAACTCTTCCTCTGAAATAAATAAATAAATCTTTGGGAAAAAAAAAAAAAAAGAAAGAAAGAAAAGCAAGAGTTGCCTCGCCAGAAAAGCACACCTGTCTTCAGTGCTTCGGGGTTTGGGTTAGGGAACCGGCAGCAGGTCTGACAATTAGGGATGACAAGGACACAGCAACACTTGCCAACAGCTGAAGGCACACGTACGATGTCCCTCACAAAAAGGCTTTGATATAAAAGGGGCTCAGGACACTGAAGTAACCCCTTACCTCCCTGCTCGTGCCCGTCTCCCTGGGGAAAGCTGAGCCCTCGTGGTGGCCCAGGTGCCCCACTCCTCAGCTTCCTCTTGTGCAGCTGATCCTCCTCCTCTACCCACCCGTGGCCCGTGGCCCACCCACCCCGAGCCACAGTGCTTCCTTGCTGCGCCTTGAACCCCGCAGGCACACGTCTTTGTACCTGCAGGATCCTTCCCAGATGGCCACATGGCTCGCCTCCTCTCCTGCCGGTCTCTGCTCACCCCCGACCTCCTCAGTGAGCACTCTAAGCACAGCCCCCAGCACTCCCTGTCCTCTTTCCAACGTGTTTTTCTGCAGGCTGATCCAGCTCTAAGGTGCCATCCGACTGACCCGTTCATTTCCCTCTCAGTCCAAGTTCCTGAGGGCAGGGTCTGTTTTGTTCACTGCTCTTTTGCCAGGGCCTTGCACAGCGCAGACACTCAGAAAACATTAACTGGATGAATACAAGGACCACATCCACCCTGGCCCCCTCTGCACCCCACATACTCGGTCCCTTTGTGCCAAAAGCCCTGTGGTGACCAGTGGTGCCGGTACACACCTGTTTCAACCACACGTTTGTCGTCATTAACTGGTTTTTCTCATCCTGTAAGATAAAGATGAAATAAGATTGCTTATTTCAATTAAAGACACAGTCATTCTTTAAATTAGAATGTTCACATTTTTATACAAACACGCCTCTCCCTGGAGTGCCCACGCTGTGTGTGTCAGTCTCGTGTTCTGGAAAAACAGGATCTGTTCCCAGCCTAGCTGATTCCTTTATTTATTTATTTATTTATTTATTTATTTGAAAGGCAGAGTTACTGACAGGCCCAGGCAGAGACAGAGAGAGACTGGTCTTCTTCCATCCACAGGTTCATTCTCCAAATGGCTGCAACAGCCAGAGCTGGGCTGATCTGAAGCCAGGAGCCAGGAGTTTCTTCTGGATTTCCCATGTGGGTGCAGGGGCCCAAGGACTTGGACCATCTACCTTTGCTTTCCCAGCTGCACTAGCAGGGAGCTGGACTGGAAGTGGAGCAGCCGGGACTGGAACTGGCACCCACGTGGGATGCCAGCACTGCAGGCAGTGGCTTTAAACACTACGCCACAGTGCCAGCCCCTATCAGATTCGTTTCAACCTGATTTGCATTTCAGATAAACTGCTCTAAGGCACACTGTTGGCAGTCTTAGATTTAACATTCCCAGTCTCAACTACTACATTTCCTCCAGCCAACTCCACTGTTTTATGTGTTCAGTACTATGAGGGGGAGAAAGCCTGCCAGTGAATCGTGAGCCATCCTTAATCCCAGGTCACATCTTGTTCCTTTTTTTAAGATTTATTTAAGCATTTGAAAGGCAGAAAGAGAGAGAGAGAGAGAGAGATATTGATTGATTGATTGATTATTCTCTCCATTCCCACAACAGCCAGGGCTGAGCCAGGAGCCTGCGACTCCATTCAGCTCTCCCACATGGGTACAGGGGCCCAAGCGCTGGGGCCATCACCCGCTGTCTTCCCAGGCACATTAGCAAGGAGCTGGATGGGAAGTGGAGCAGCTGGGACCCGGCCAGTGTGCTAAGATGGGACAAGTGCTGCAGGTGGCAGCTGAACCCACTGCGCTCTACAGGACACACCTGGACTGCAGAGGGGCTAGCGTGGAGGACCACGTTGTCCCAGGGTCGGGGACACAGCACGTGTGAGCACTCCTCGGGGACTCTTCCTTACAGTATTTGCCTCTGCTAAGGCAAGAATTTGAATCTCCCCATGGGTTTGCTACGTAGAAAAAGTCCTGGAGTCACAGCCTTGGATGCTTTTAGATCCTACGTCTCGAGGGTCCTCAGGATGTGTCACGTATCCTTTCCTGCTGTCCTGTCTTTGCTATGCCAGTCTTTTCCCAGATGTTCAAGGCCTAACTGAAGTGACATTCCTTCCGTTAAATTCTACTGAAGCATGGTGGAGCCAAGTGCCCCAGTTAAAGGCCATGGCAGTCACCCAACCACAAGCACACCACGCACAGGACACGGGGTGAAGCCCACAGACTGGGGAGAGAGGAGGAGGCAGCCAGCTCAGCCAAGTGGGGGTGACCCCTCCCCTATCCCAGCAAGAGTGAAGGGCCTGGGAGAGGTGGAGACGGAGGGAGCACACCCCTGGGGAGGGAGGCAGCCCTGGGAGGTCTCCCCTTGGGGGAAGGAGGAGGACCCGGAAATTCAGCAAGGTCAGGCCGTCCCGCCCACACTGCTGTCCCCAAGGGCAGTCTTCCCCAATTCAAACCCTGGGGCTGGAGAGGACCTCGCGGTACCATCCACCGCAGTCCTTCTATCCTACAGACACAGAGACGGAGCCAGGGAGGCGACTTGGCTGCAACCACACTGCCGGAGCCGGTGCTGTGGTGTTGCCGGTAAAGCTGCTGTCTGCAATGAAAGCATCCCGTGTGGGTGCTGGTTTGAGTCCCAGCTGCTCCACTTCTTTTTTTTTTTTTTTTACAGGCAGAGTGGACAGTGAGAGAGACAGAGAGAAAGGTCTTCCTTTGCCGTTGGTTCACCCTCCAATGGCCGCCGCGGCTGGCGCGCTGTGGCCGGCGCACCGCGCTGATCCGATGGCAGGAGCCAGGAGCCAGGTGCTTTTCCTGGTCTCCCATGGGGTGCAGGGCCCAAGCACCTGGGCCATCCTCCACTGCACTCCCTGGCCACAGCAGAGGGCTGGCCTGGAAGAGGGGCAACCGGGACAGAATCCGGCGCCCCGACCGGGACTAGAACCCGGTGTGCCGGCACCGCTAGGCGGAGGATTAGCCTAGTGAGCCGCGGCACCAGCCCCAGCTGCTCCACTTCTGATCCAGCTCCCTGCTAATGTGCCTGGGAAAGCAGTAGAAGATGGCCCAAGTCCTTGGCCCCTGCCACTCACGTGGGAGACCCGGATGGGGTTCCTGGCTCCTGGCTTCAGCTGGCCCAGTCCCAACTGTCACAGCCATTTGGGGAGGAAACCAACAGATGGAAAATCTCTTTCTCTTTCTGTCTCTGTCTCTCTCTCTTATTTGGAAGGGAGGTGAGAGAGAGAGTCATACATATAGGAAATAAGGTGGAGTTCAGAAGAAATTCAGGGAAAACCCACATAAAAGACTACAGGGTAGAGGCTACTTCAGGGATACAAAGAACCTAAAACAACTTGGAAGCATCTCATTGACTTTCCTGTTCCATCTGCAGGCCCCGGCCCCTGGGTCCCCATCTTCCCTCGCACGCCTTGTATTTTCTGGGGCTTTCTCTCAGGACGCCGCCCTTGCCCCACTCCTGTCCATGGTTAGCTCCTTCTTCCACCACTGCCCATGAATGTTCCTCAAAGATCTGCTCCCGCTGTCCCTTCCGGCTTTAAAAACTCCCACCTCGAGGTTTTCAGCATCGCCCCAGGCCAGCGACTCCAAGCCGACCTCGGGCTCACCTCTCAGCTCTGCGTCAGTGCCCACTTCCCAAGGGCTGGTGCACGTTTGCTTTGCGATGGCCACCTCAAACCACAGCCAACTCGCCAACCCCTCCGCCCGGCTCCATGACCACTATCTGCATCTTCCAAATCCCTGCTGCTCTCCCCTTCTCATCACTCGGGATTCAAAACTGGACGCCTCCAGCCTCAGGGTCAGGTCCTGTCCCTTCTTCTGTGTGGTCATCTAACTCGCTTCTCAAGCTCCTACACCTCCTGCCCCCTCCACACCAGGTAGGCGACCCCTTATTTATCCTTGTGGTGCTTTCCCTATTAGATCGCTTGTAGAACATCCACTAAGTGCCAGAGACCACGCTAGGTTCTGGGATGGACACAAAAGGACAAGAATGCGTGCTACGTGGACGCTGGGAGGCAGGGAGCGCTTGAGGACCGGGCACTGCATTCCAGAGCGAGTCGGGGAGACCCTGTTGTCAGGAGTCTGCAACCATTTCACAAAGTCTGATAGATGAACTTGGCCTTCTGTGCCAGAAGGAAAGCTCTCCAAGCACAAGAGCTTAGGAAGTGGCAGGCAGGTGCATTCCCCGCCTCCCCTGCAGCCCAGCCAGACCGCTCCTAGGCAGCAGGGCTTCCAACAGCACCACAAAAAGGCTCAGGGTCGTATCGTTCCTCCTTATTAAAGTAGGTCTCCTCTGTGTCACAACAAACTCCACTCGTCCTACAAGGCCAGCTCAGGGCCACCTCCCCTACCCCTGCTGCCTTTGATCCTCTCGGTCATCAGGACCGTGGCACCGTGCTCTATGTGCCAATAGCCCCAGCTGGAAAGACCTTTGGGCACACGTCCCACTCTCCCTACTTCCACTTGCCTTTTTTTTTTTTTTTTTTGGCAGGCAGAGTGGACAGTGAGAGAGAGAGACAGAGAGAAAGATCTTCTTTTGCCGTTGGTTCACCCTCCAAGGGCCGCCACGGCTGGTGCACTGCGGCCGGCGCACCACGCTGATCCGAAGGCAGGAGCCAGGTGCTTCTCCTGGTCTCCCATGGGGTGCAGGGCCCAAGCACCTGGGCCATCCTCCACTGCACTCCTGGGCCACAGCAGGGAGCTGGCCTGGAAGAGGGGCAACCGGGACAGAATCCGGCGCCCCGACCGGGACTAGAACCTGGTGTGCCGGCGCCGCTAGGTGGAGGATTAGCCTAGTGAGCCGCGGCGCCGGCCACTTGCCTATCTTTATTTACAGCATCCCCAAGGGGCTGGGGACACAACCATGTCTACTCACTGGCCTCTCTGGTACAGTGAGGCGACATCCACAGATTCACATATATCCTCGGACTCAGTTGCCTTAAGGAAAGGAGAAAGTCAGACAATGTATGTACATATCCATCATGGTCACTTAGAGCAATAAAGCTGGGAACAATCTTCTGCCAATAATAGGATAATGGTGGGGCCGGTGCTGTGGCGTAGCGGGTAAAGCAGCTGCCTGCAGTATCGGCATCATGTGGGCACTGGTTCAAGTCCTGGCTGTTCCACTTCCCATCCAGCTCTCTGCTATGGCCTGGAATAGCAGAAGATGACCCAAGTCCTTGTGTCCCTGCATCCATGGGGGAGACCCGGAAGAAGCTCCTGGCTCCTGGCTTCGGATCAGTGCAGCTCCAGCCGTTAATGGCCCATTGGGGAGTGAATCAGTGGATGGAAGACCTCTCTGCCTCTCCTTTCTCTTTGTAACTCTGACTTTCAAGTAAATAAATAAATCTTTAAAAACAAACAAACAAAAAACCACAATAGGATAATGGTTAAATAAATTGTAAAGGGGCTGGTGATTGAAGATGCCAGTCTGATGCCTGCATTCCATGACCAGAGTGCTGGGCTGGGTTCTCAGCTTCAGCTCTGAACTCCAGCTTACGCCAGTGTGGACCCGGGAGGCAGCAGGTGACGGCTCTGGGTGGGTTCCTGACATCCACTGGACGGAACTCTGGGCTCCTGGCTCTGTGTACCGGCAACTGCAGAGTGAATCGGCAAACTGGAGCTCTCTCTCTCTCTACTTGTTTAACGTCTCCCTTTGACTGTCCATCTGTCTCTCAAATAAATAAGTTGAAGACTTAAAAGTTAGAAAAGGAATATCACATAGCCATTAAAATTATACTTGAAGACTATGTAATGACAGGAAAATGTTTATCATGTAAACAGTAGTGGGAAACGTTGCCAGCAACGGAAATTATACCTAACATTCTTTCAATTTGTAACATACACACAAAGGAAAAACTGGAAAGAAATGCAATAAAATGTTAACATTAGTCATCTGAGGGCTGCAGAATTAGAATCCATTTTTATTTTATTCATTTTTTGCACTTTCTAAATTCTCTACAAAAAATCACGCACCACTGCTTTAATCAGAAAACAAAGGCGTGTCTATAAGTAATACTTTCTATATATATATATTTAAACACTGCTGAGTATCCTGGGGACACAGCAGGGGAGTGTGATCGCCTAGTTCTGAGCTAGCCAGCAGCGGGCAAGTGTCCTTTTGTGACACTGGTGAGGTCCCTGAGGGAATGGCTTGCGTCTCCTTCAGCAGGTGGGCCGTGGCGCTGGCTCACCGCCCCCACGGGAAATGAACTCGCGTACCCAGCACACCTACCACATCCACGAGCTGGGATATTGCGAGGCCAAACTTGATCTTTATTTTGTCATGCAGGTGCTCCACAGGACGAACCCATCTTTCATAGTCTTGAAATAAATCCTTAAACAAACTGTCTTCATGTTTCGCCACAAAGGATGGTTCAGATAATCCTATTAACAAATTTTTAAAAGTTAGCGCACTGGCTTTTCTCCCATTAAACATTTTTTTAAAAGAAAAAAAATCCAATATTATTAATGAACCAAATTAAAATTTGGGCCATTACGACTGTAACTTTTTGAATGAAATACTGATCTGAATATCTGCACTCAAATAAGAGACACTCTGGCTCCGATATAATCCTGTATTAAATCAGACCACTTACTGTACGAATATGCCGAGTTCCCAAAGAAATATTCAGCAGTCAAGACAGCAATTAAAATACAAGAAATAAGAGCTTTTAAGTTGCCAGGGATAGGGGAGTTACTTCTCAAAAACACTTTGGAGCCTAGAAAACAGATACAGGGAAGCAAAGCCTGTTTATCACTGGAAATGTAAATAAGCATGCTTTCATTTACATAATATTAGCATACATCAAGTACTCAACGGATTATGTAGATTTGTCATGGTTTCGTTGGCTGCACAAGTGTCTAAAACTACTTTAGGGCCCAAGTCTTAGAAAAACATTTTGAGGTGAAAACTTAGTGGATTTTTTTCTGATGAATCAGAGCATTTAATTCACTATTTTACCCAGATTAATTTTTGAATATTTGCTAAAGACTAGTTCTTTAAGCTATGACATATGATAAATCGCAGATGGCAGTACCTCATTGTTTACTTAGCTTTTGTACTTATATTTTTCAGAGGAAAATACTACTGTAAATTGTACATAGTCAATACCTAACTATTGTATGCAAATCTGTGACTTGGCAACGTCATCTCAGAGGAAAAGATAAATAAAGTTTATTTACTATTAAAAAAGAAAGAAAGAAAGAAAAACAGAAGCTTTAAAGTGTTAGACACCAAGGCCAAAGTCTGGCCAGCTCCGCGTCACAGTCACACTCCTCCCAAGCTTAAATGCGCCTCTGACAGCGGCGAGACTCTCCGAGTTCCTGGACCAGAGTAGGTAAGGAGACCTAAAACGCGCGAAATTCAAACATGAGGGTGACTCAGGACTAAGGATCTTGGGAAGAAAAAGCACGTACTGAGCCCAAACGCCACTGGCGTCTTCAGCAAGGGCACACACAGGGATGGCAGCAGCTGGAGACAGCTTCGATTTGACAAGAAATGGGCACTTCCAAAAACCTCCTCTTCCCTTGCGGAGGTGAGGGGAGAGCGGGCGCTCTGATTCTCCCTCTCTGCCCCCCACCCTGTTCCTGCAGTTACAAAGCAGCCCCAGGGTCTCTGTCCGCTCCCGTGAGCAGAGGGAGGTATCTGACTGAATCTACAATCGAGTTTGTGCCATGCCACTCATACAAGTCTCCTTAGGCTGACACGCATAGCACTGGACAAACAGATGCCAAACAGATTCTAATAATACGGTACACTGGGGGCGGGTGCTGTGGTGTAGCTGCCTGCAGCGCCAGCATCCTATATGGGCCCTGGTTCGAGTCCTGGCTGTTCCACTTCTGATCCAGCTCTCTGCTGTGGCCTGGGAAAGCTGTAGAAGATGGCCCAAGTCCTTGGGCTCCTGCACCAGTGTGGGAGACCCAAGGAAGCTCCTGGCTCCTGGCTTTGGATCGGCTCAGCTCTGGCCATTGCAGCCATCTGGGGAGTGAACCAGAGGGAAGACTCTTCTCTTTCTCTAACTCTGCCTTTCAAATAATTTTTTTTTAAAAAGCCATTCTTAATGTTTAGAGGTTGTTAATTTCAGAGCTTCAAGTTAAAGGGGTGCTGCTGAACCATTTTTCCTCTTTTAATATCTAAACATGTTATAGCCTCTGAAATGATGAAATTTAAGATTTAAAAGATAGGGGCCAGCACTGTGGCTCACTTGGTTAATCCTCCGCCTGTGGCACCGGCATCCCACATGGGTGCTGGGTTCTAGTCCTGGTTGCTCCTCTTCCAGTCCAGCTCTCTGCTATGGCTTGAGAAGGCAGTGGAGAATGGCCCAAGTGCTTGAGCCCCTGCACCCACATGGGAGACCAGGAGGAAGCACCTGGCTCCTGGCTTCAGATTGGTGTAGCTCTGGCCGTAGCAGCCATTTTGGGGGTGAACCAATGGAAGGAAGACCTTTTTCTCTCTCTCACTAACTCTACCTGTCAAAAAAAAATATTTAAAAGATAAAAAATAAATGTCTTTCAATAGCAGCAGCAGGGGAGAATATTAGCTTCAATAGTCATTTCAAATTTTGTTTGGAAGAGAACAGGTAAGGCATAGATCACATAATATAAATTTCTACCTAATGAGAACCTTAAGACACGACTTTGTGAATATCTTTGTAATACATGCAACATTAGAAATCCTCTGGGCATTCCTAGCACACATTATGGGGATGGCAGGTGCGCTTGGTGGTATTTAGCACAGAACCTTGATGGTGCAGTCAAATCCTACTTAGTAGTCACACTTTTTAAAGATTTATTTATTTAAAAGTCAGTTACAGAGAGAGAGGAGAGGCAGAAAGAAAGAGAGAGGTCTTCCATTGCTGGTTTGTTCCTCAATTGGCCACAACAGAGAGAGGAGAGGCAAAGAGAAAGACAAAGAGGTCTTCCAGCCACTGGTTCGCTCCCCAATTGGCTGCAACTGCCGGAGCCGCACCAATCTGAAGCCAGGAGCCAGGAGCTTCCTCCGGGTCTCCCACGTGGGTGCAGGGGCCCAAGGACTTGGGCCATCTTCTACTGCTTTCCCAGGCCACAGCAGAGAGCCGGGTCAGAAGTGGAGCAGCCAGGACTTGAACCAGCACCCATATGGGATGCCGGTGCTTCAGGCCAGGGCATTAACTCACCACACCACAGCGCCAGCCCCAGCAGTCATGCTTTCATAGCTGCCTCTAAGTGCTTTAAGTTTGCGCTACTCATAGCCTCAGAATGTTGAGAAGCAGACAAGCCAATGCATACGGCCAGAAAAGCCAGCGCCACACACCTCATCTGTGGCAACTGTCACCCTAACGTCTCCCATCTTTGTGACGACTTCCTGAAAGAACTTCACCAGCACACACCCTCAGAGCTCCAGCCCACGTTGATTTTTGTTCATCCATTCATTCAGCACTTATTGGACACACACCTGACACCAGATGGGTGCTGGGACAGAGGGCTCACGGTGTGTAGATACCAGATGGGTGCTGGGACAGAGGGCTCATGGAAAGACTGACACCACGTGCACCGTAATATACACATAAGGTGAATTCTAAATCAGCTGCATCAAACGGCATGTTTCTTTGTTCAAAGTTGTTTTGAGGGGCCTGTATTGTGGCGTAGCGGGTAAAGCCGCTGCCTGCAGTGCCGGCATCCCATACAGGCACAGGTTTGAATCCTGGCTGCTCCACTTCAGATCCAGCTCCCTGCTAATGTCCTGGGAAAGCAGTGGAGGATGTCCCAAGTGCTTGGGCCCCTTTCATCCATCTGGGAGACCTGGATAAAGCTTCAGGCTCCTGGCTTTGGCCCGGCCCAACTCCGCCCTTGCAGCCGGGACTCGAACTGGCGCCCATATGAGATGCCAGCACTGTAGGCGGCGGCTTTACCCACTATGCCACAGCGCTGGCCCCAGGTTTATGGTTGTATCAGTGCCATGAAGAAATGCTTCTCTCACACCCCGTGAGTTTAGGCACTCAGGGGTGCACGTTCCCCGGGGAGAGCCAGGCCGGCTCCGTGTGGACTGCAGAGTGTGTGCACAGTGCCCGTTCTCCGCACAACAGGCTGGAGACACAGCTGATGCCTGCAACTTCCCCTTCAGGTCTGGACGCAGCCCAGCAGGCACACGGGTCCCCACCTACATCTGTCTATCATCGGAAGCCCCTGGTCTGCATCGCCACCCGCTTCCCCACGGGCCACACGCTTGGCCCTCCACCAGAAGTGTTCTCGACGCACTTTTCCAGTCTCTACCACGAAATGACCCTCGCTAAAGTTTAAATCTCTTCTTCAATAACACGGAATTCTCAGTGACAAAAAATAAGACGCTGGCGGGCACAGCTCCCTCATATGCACTGTATTTATCAGGCACGAAGCAAACAGCGATTCTAAACCTGCACTGGCAATTCTGTCCAACGACAAAGCAAAATGCCAGAACACGTGCTAATAATGTCACGTGACAGCCAACACTGCCATCTAAGAAGTGCATTTGGGGGCAGGTTTTTTGGGCTACAGTTAAGACAGTGTCTAAGATGCCCACGGCTCAGCCAGGAGTGCCAGGGTTTCAGTTCCAGCCCCCTGCCAACCCCAGCTTCCCGACAATGCGCATCCCTGCCACTCATCTGGGAGACCTGGTTTGTATCACCACCTCCTGGCTTTCCCCTGGCCCGGCCCCAGCTGCTCTGGGCATTTGGGGAGTGAATCAGCAAATGGAAGATAGATCCCTCCCTCCCTCCGTCCCTCCCTCCCTCCCTCTGCTTCTCTGCCTTTTGAATAAATATAAATAGAGTAATTTTGCTAATAATCTTTTCCTCTTTCTCCTCTAGCACAGTAATTTGTGCCTGGTTTTCCAAGCTGCTTGCCAGTGCCGTGCCTTCAACCCATATCTGCTGCCCAGGATTCGTCCTATTCTGAACGATGTCTCTGGATTCCGGGCCTTCTGTTTTTAGCAACGAGATTCATTAATTTTCTACTGGAAAGTATCATTGTACATTTGTCCTAGAAATAGCTGGTTCATCAGTGAGCCACTGTGCTGCGTTTGAAAACAAAGCAGATGCTTCCCGGGTGCCGGCGCCTGACAACGTTTCACCACAGAACCACCCCGGGGAGCAGGGGCTGCATCGCCCACGGGGTGACATTCGGTTTACAGATCCTGAAATCCTCCTAGCTGCAAATTCCTGTCTTAGGGCGTTGCAGTTTCCACTCTGAATGCACACGGTATTTATGGGGAAATGCTGAAGTATACATTGTTACTTATCATCGCTATTTGAGTCAGGGATCCATTTTTATTAAGTGAGGGATATGCAACATGGTAACAAAAGTCACTATTGGGGCCGGTGCTGTGGCACAGCGGGTAAACGCCCTGGCCTGCAGCACCGACGTCCCAT